ACGTACGTACGTACGTACGTCGTTCGTTCGTTCGTCGTTCGTCGTCGTCTCTCTCTCTCTCTCTCTCTCTCTCTCTCTCTCTCTCTCTCTCTCTCTCTCTCTCTCTCTCTCTCTCTCTGTCTCTCTCTCTCTCTCTGTCTGTCTGTCTGTCTCTCTCTCTCTCTCTCTCTATGACTTATTGTTAGTCATATCGACCGACACTCGTCGTATATATTTTCTGACCCAGAAAGAGATTCTTGAGGGAGCGGAGACGAGAGAAAACAAGCGGCGGTGAATCGAGCTAAACGACCAACACCATTGTCCATTGGCTAGTCGCGTATGGCTATTATACAAATCAGGGAGTCATTGCTTATCAAACGTTATAGATAGAGTTGCATCTTTAAGTATTTGGAAGTAAGATTGTGGAATAAGATTAATAGTGAAGATAAATATTTTTTAGTAAGAAACTTTTGTTTCATGTAATAGCGATAAAGTAATAAGAAATTGAAATTTTAAGAAATATTATATATTTAAAAGTGTAATAGATATTTTATTGAGAATCTTTGTCTAATGTTTCATTTTGATTTATATCTTTAATAACTAACAATAAGCAGAATAAATGGGAAAAAAAATATAATATTTAGATTTTTGGAATAGAATAAGTGGAGATAAATGTATAAATATGTAGTAGTAGTAGTTAATAGGATTATTTAAAAGTGTAATAGATATCTAATTATTGGGATTGTAGAAAATATAATATATAGATTTTTGGAATAAATAAATGGATTAGTTATAGTAATGGAAAATTAAAATTTGTTGAAACATTATTTGAAAATGTGATTATCTTATTGATTTTATATCATAATTAATTTATGTTATAAATATACCTTCAATTTGTAACGTGTAATCTTGTAATAAAAATTATCTTTATTTCTCATCGTCTATCTTAAAAATGTTCATATATTTTATGTAAACATTATTCGATATCTATTGGAAATATTTTTATTACGAATTTTATAAGGATTTATAGAATAGTGATAAATCTTATCAATATGAGGAAAAATATTGTAAAACAAATAAAGGTAGTGTTAATATTTTAAAAATTACATACATTATATGAGCATCATGCATGTAGATATATATATATATATATATAGTGTCCAATGTAACTGGGACAAGTATTAAACTGTACAGTATTTAAAACCGTTAGAGATGAAAGAAAAAACGTCACGTGGTAAAATGAATTTTAAAAACGCAATTATTAAAGTACAACTCGCTCGATAAACTTGAACATCTTATATAAGGTGTCTCGCTTGATTTTGATATCTTGATTTTTTCAATAAAATCATTATAAAAATTTCATTACAAAAATTAAATAGTTAAATAGTTAATTGGGAAGAGTATATTATTAATTCTTTTGTAAAGGTTACCTCAATTTTTTTTAATACATCAATCAATGCAATTCGACATTCTCTATATAAAAGTATTAGCTCGTGTAAGCCTAGAAATTTTTTATATATTTTTAACTATTATTTTATTATTTTATTAATATATTTTATTTAGAGTTAAGATAAGATATTTCAATTTGAATTTTATTCTATGAAGGACTCGTCTGTTCATGCATCTTCTTTTTATGTAATAAATTTTACAAAATTTAAAATATGGAATTGCATTAATCGATGTATTAAAAAAAATATCTTAATTCCATTTAAAAAAAACAAAGTTGACTTTCATACGACCTTTATGCATTTATTCACGAGAGAATGAATAAATAATGCATATGTATCCCTTGGCATCATTCGTTTTTTATCTAAAATGTATTTCATTAAAAATAATAATATTGAGAAAACCAAAGTATCAAAACAAGGTAGAATATTCTGTATATTCGAAAATTATGAAGTCTTCTTCTTTACCATGAACCATGAACCATTTGCACGCTTGATAACATTTTAAAAAATTGCTTAATTTTTAAATTTTTCATCATATCTATCGATTCGTCAAGAATAAATTTATATGACGAACAAATACTAATATGATCTCATGTTACAACCTTGGCATGTAAAGCGACTGGTGGCACAGGTGCACGATGTAATATCATTTCCTTTAGCATCACGGTTTAACTTACGAGATGATCAATTATGGTTTCTCTCGAGAGGAGACAAGAATACAACAAGTATTAACAGTTACTTGTTAATTTAATTGACAGATTACCACAGAAAAAAAAAGAGGGAGAAACATAAGAAAAGTATTGAAATACATTTGTGGATTTAGATGCGCAAAATGATGTAGCTAGATATATTTATATGTATTTATTATTTTGATCTTTTATGTGCATGCATGATATTAGTTATTGATCGTTTCTATTTCTTTAAACGTTAAACGTGGTAATAAATCTAGCTTATTTACAATTCTATTTTCCTGAGTTGAAAAGTTTCATTATTTTTTTCTGAAAAATACATAAAGTTTTTTAATTTTGCTTAGAAGTTAAGTTTTAAAAATAAAAATATTTTTATAATGAGATATTTTAACTGAAGAAAGCAGAATTTACCAATTTTTTTTTTTATTCCTATTTTTACATTACAATATTATTTTATGTAATATCTCGTCAGCTCAGAAGATAATTATGAAAAAATGGTTTTAAAAACTCCTTAATTCAAACGCGTGTTTCGAGCAGCAATCATCAGTTTTAACAGGATTGATTATAATACTTACAATCCCATTAAAGCTACGTACAATGAACGCATGACAATGAGCCAGTACACGACAAAATTACTACAAGTATCAATTCTCGCATTTTTTTTGCCTTTCTATCATTAAAAAAAAAAAAAAAAAAAACAATCTACTCGTTACAATCTCTCATTTCAGATTTCAAATTTATACTTTACCCATAATCCTCTATTCTTTAAAGAAGATTAATTTCACCAGTTTTTCTACTTAAAACGAGTCCTGTTAGAAGAGAAACTATGTAAAAGCCCAATACCAAGTTTTCACTTTTCTCTTCCACTTTCTTCCTTCATTCTTTTACAAAGGAACTCCTGTACGATCTGAAAACAACATTATACGTGTCAAGCAACTTCTCAATTGGAAAACGTCCTTGTATTCCTTATATTTACAGATAGATACGCGAATGAAATTGTTGTGAGCACACCTTTACCCATACAATGTCTTAGAGAGAGGAACCACTTAGGTAGAGCCACAGTAACTTTATAACATAAGCGTGCCAGTTGGTGGCAAATTTGCGGATGCGTGCAATTGGCATTGCCTATGCCCTGCCGTATATACCTATATGCTGGCAATGGCAAACCGGCCGTCCAATCGGCAGCTATGAAGCAGTTAACTTAATATAGGCACACTCGGAATGTGTGCCATCGACGACCTCGAGGCCTTCCCTAGGTCAGTGCTAATTCTCCAGAACCGACCACCTCTTCCGAATTTCCGGTCAACCTTCAAGACGTCGCCAACACAGATCAAAACCCACTTGCATCGCGTTATGACCTGGTCTATCTCTTTCTTCCTCGCTTCTCCTCTATCCTTGTTCGTTTATTTCTTTCGACGATAATATTCGATAATCGAATTTATCCCAAGAAAAAATCTGGGTAAAATGCATTTTTGATAGAATTAATATTTCTTCGTTGGTTTCTTCGTAAGATGAATCGATAATTTTCACGTCATATGACAGCAATAAGTCTGAAAGAAAATTTGTCAAAATGATAATATGCCAGATGTCAATAATGAGTTAGTAAAAGTAATAATGTAGATATATTATTGTAAAAATTGTAATTGAAAAGATGTTGAGTTTTAGAAATAATTATGTAGTGTTTGTTATCTGATTCGAACACTATTCCTCAAAAATTTGATATATATAAAAGTCGCTATTATTCGATTTGAAGAATATTTCGTATTTATTCAGAACTTCCTGATGATATTGATATTATTAGAAATTTACAACAAGATATTTCTTATAGAGATAATATCAATTATTACGAATCATAGCAAAGAGTTATCATATCTTTTTTTTTTTTTAAAGATTAATAGAATTTCGATAAAATGAAACGAATAAAATATCTTTGATCTATTGATAAAAAAATTTTATGCAATATTAAATTCTGAATTGATGACTCATCGTTACTATTTCAATATGACGAAACATTTCACATTTTCGATGAATCAGTAGATGAAACCAATAATATCTATTACAAGAATATTTCATAAATTATATTTATGACGCAAACTCTTAATGTAATAATAAAACTATCAAAAAAATATCAATTTATGTAAAGCTGACTTTCATTGATTTTGATAAAACAAGATTTTAAATTATTACACAAATTATTATCATTTTTTTACTTTTCAATTTCTTGATGATTCCTTATCATTAACCATATACTTAACATTCGTACGAAAAATATTTAAGAACAAATATTTCGAAGAGACAACGTTTCACGCATGATGAATCAACATTTTCACATATGCAATCAACAAGAATCGTACTCTTCAATTACAGACACGTGTGTCGTTCGAACGCGAAACATTCCTTGCCAACTAATCTAATTATACGACCACTGAATTAAAGTAACCCACGACAAATCACGTAGGAGTTTAATTAAATTTTATCAACCGTATTCGCGACAACGTGACGAAGAATAGCCATTGTTATTTTTCCTAGAGGGCGCTTGGAAGAACTTCTCCGTTCGAGGGAAGACAAATCAAAAGGAAATCTAATATCGTCGAAATTGCACTAGTTGTCCATGGCGGTTGTTATAGATATGCCTTGCGTAACAGTTTATTGTAGACGTGTGAGTAAAAGAAACTCAACTTTATAATTCAGATATAATTTTAAACTTGAAAAATTCTTTTTTTCGTATCTAGCGAAAACATAAAGACAAAAGCTAACCTCATTGCGAATCGTATTACGAATAATGTAAAGTTACGAACAATATGATTACATCATTCATGACGTACAGGTAAGAATGTTTCAATAGTAAAAAAATTTCAGACTTCGATTTTCGTTTTACATTCTTAACGAGACGTGTTTTGTTGTTACAGTCAAAAATTTGAAAGCGTATCGCTCGATGTTCGGTCGATAATAACTTATTCTCGATTCAATTCTTAAAACGAGAATTAAATCGCTTAGCTTTATCTTCATCGATTTATCCTTACTTTTATAAAATTAATCCTTTCTTAATCTTCGAATCACTGAATCATTTTTTATTTATATCTGAATTATACATGCTAAATATCATTTGCACATTGAATTATGAGTCAAAAGTGATCTATATGGGCTACGAATGAAAATTAAAAGGTTAATACATTGATTTTAACATATGATGTATGATTAAATGTAGAAACATGAATGACACATTTTTCATCATTTAGTTGATTTGAATAATTGGCACCGAATCTTTAAATTGGAAATATGCAGTTCGATAAAATGGTCCACGCAAAGATATTACGTTACGCCCACGCAGTAAACGGCGTTAACACGAGAATGTTAAGAGTTAATGGACCAACTTCCCGGACACGACGAGTTTCAACGGCCGTAGCGAATCCTCTGGCAATGACATTGACAAAACTGCCATTTCTCGCCGATCAAAGAGATATATCTATTTTTATTCAAGTAATCACATTATTGTAAAATGTTTAATCTCAAAGATATTAAACAATTTTTACATAAAACGATATTAAAATATTTTAACAAGTATATTTATTTAAATACTTTAATACTTAATAAGAATTCATTTAATAAGAATTTTTCTATTTTGAATATATATATGTCATCTAGCTAATGTTAAAATCTATATAATAATCGTTTCTTTTTAATTTTATACATTTATGATGTATAATATGTACAAAACAATATGTATATACAATTAAAAAAGTATAGGTTAATGATCAATTGTAATGAGGTTCGAATGATTCAAATTTAAATGAGAGAACATGCTATGATTCTCGATCAGTTGTGCAAATTGTGTAACTAGTATTAATATTTTGTAATAGCACAGAGGAAATACAGCATACATATAAATTGCAGTATTTATAGCAATATGTAAGTATCCAATACCATTATTGTAATGCTAATGCGCTACTCTCGTTAACTTCTGTTTCGTAATTTCAGTTGCATAAGACACATCCATTTTTTGTTTCTCCCAAATGTTTTTCTTCAGCAATAAGGAATATAAGTATTAATTAATTTAAATAAGATGATTTAAAAAAATTAATGGTTATTTATGCAAAATTTTATTATATAAATACAAATTAAGGCAAGTATTCAATATTTATTTACAATATTATTACATTATTTACAATATTAATACAAATATTTGATATTAAAATAACTAATTAAAATGATCATCATTTACTTTCCAATATCGTCAAGTTGAATTAAATTATTATCATGCCATCAATACGAATTTTTAAGATGCATTGTTTATCATATACAATTACAGGAAATGAACAAGTTGGCCTATTTTGTATCGACATGCAGGCAGGTCGTTATAAAGAGAAGGATTTGAAAAGAATCTATAATGACAGTTTGAATCGAATTCTATGTGACGTAAAACATGAAGTCTATGGTGAAACACGTCACGATAGATTAAGCTTTAGCATTATGAATATTGTTAATTAATGAGAACATTAATATGCAGAATAGCTATACTGGAGATAGTGTGTTAAACATTGTAATATATCCACTCACAAAAAAACACAAATGATATTATAATTCTGTGATCCATTGAATACTTGTTTAATCACCATCTGACAATAGATTTTTAAATAATTCATTGTCGAATAAAAATATATACTTCAAGTATTCGATATTCGAAAAAAATAAATCGCAATTAATTCTCTATTTTGTCTAATAAAATATTTTATCTAGTATTTTTTTATATTTTTTTATATGTATAATATTACGATGAAATTCAAAATTATTTTACTTTACTTTTATAGAAATTATTTTTCTTTTCTATCATCTGATACGTATTTTATTGCAAGTATAAATATAAATTATTTTTTTTATCTGATAAAAATCCTCGAGATATCATGTACGGACTAGATAAAAATCTTTTCTTGTCGCTATTGCGAAAGAAGAATACCAAGAATAATAATAATGTTTTATTAAAAAAACAATATCAAAAATAATTTATTTTAATTTATTGTTAAATATAATATATTAACGATAAAAATATCGTGAATTAGAATATATATAGTTATATACTTAGATTATTATCATAATATATTATAAAATAGATGTAACATTTATTTTTGTATATTTATAATATATTTATATTTTTTATATTAAAGATTAAAATTAATTGTAATTTTAAAAGAAAATGAAAAAAATAATGAGTATTTACCATAATTTGCGTGTTATGAGTATATAGGCAAGGAAAGCAAATAATAGAAGCAATAGAACAAATATCATAAAAATGATGGAATCAACACCATCTTTGCCATACCACAAATGAAACTCAAGATACAGAAGGATACAGAAAATAGTAGAAAAAAAATAGAGATAAGAAATTAACTTTCAGTACCATCTTTTGAGTTTTAATGGCACCTTTTTAAAACAAAGTAAAAGAAGAATTGATTGTTAGCGCCATCTCTTGATATCAGCCAATAAAGTATTTTTTTCTAAAAGTAAAACTTGAAAGATGACGCTAGTGATCAATTCATATTCTACTTTATCCTTTCGTTAAAGAGACTTTATTAATATTCAAGAGATGACACTAACGATCAATTCCTGTTTTATCTCTATCTTTTTATTATCTTCTGTTTTTATGTATCGAGTTTTATTTGCGGCACTCTGAAGATGGCGCTGATTTCACAATTTTTAACCTATCTCCGTCTTTCTCCTATTCTTTTACTCTCTTTATTTATATTTGCTATTGAAATGTATTTAGGAGATGGCGCTATTGTCGCAATTCCATATCTTTTATGTGTATATATATATATATATATATATTTTTACATATTGTACATTCTGTTTCATCTTTCGTTTCATTTTTTAAATAAAATAAATTGAAATACATTTTAATTAATAATTTTGATATTAAATCATTACGAAAATTGTACATATCTATGAGTAAGTATTAAAGGAGAAATAGCATAATAGAACATTATTAATTTATATTTTATTAGTTTATAAAATTCATTATATTTATTTTTTAATTAATTATATAATATATAAAATAATGTTTATAACATTTTTATAATCATATTTATTATTGTAGTATATTTCTATATATTTTTTACTTTTATGTTCTTTTAAAGCAAATGCATTTACTTAAAATATTTTTTACACACATATCAGAACGATTTTTATAAAAATATAAAAGAAATTTTTATATACAATTATTATCGAATATATATATATATATATATATAAAACATTTTTTTAATTTTTACATAATGAAAGTTAAAAATAAAAAAGAATTATTGCAGTTCTTCAAATATCATTTTATTACTATTTGTACAATTATTTTCAAACTATCTATCGAAAAATTAAGATATCTTCAGAAAAGTTTCAAGTTTAGCTTCACCAGATGGCACAATCACCTGTTACCTGAATTTTTACCTGTATAACTCTAAGCATAAGGAATCAACCAATCACTAGGTCGATCCTGGGGCCTCACTAAACCCCCACTCTAAGTTACCGCCTGGCTTGAGTGCAACAGGCTACGAAGTTCAGAAATTCATTCGTCGTAAGCACGAAAACAATTTCAGTGTTTTAACGCTGCTTTTCATCAAATCTACGTTGTATTATTGCATACATATGGTCGCGTAGTGATTTTTGTGGAGTGCCATCAGCAAAAACAAAAAGAGGTAAGCGATCTCTTTAAATTCTTTTAATATTTTTCTTACTATAAAGTGAATTCAACAACTGGTTCTTCATCGAAGCGATATCGAATCCGCTATTTGACTCCAGTGGTACGCCAACTAAGGACATTCCGTGGAATCGCCCTGTTTTAAGAATGTGAAATCGTGTGGGTGTATTTCCATTAGTTACAGTTTGCTTCTTGAATATTCTTTTTGTACATACAATCATTCTAGTTAGTTTACATTTAACACTACATAATTTTTCACGCATTTATTGCTACCATGTTTGAAGAACAAATTTATACTAATCGTGTTATCATATTCTTCCTAGATTGTTTCTTTACCATTTTTTTTAATTTAATTTAAATATCGTTTTAAATAATATATTCGATAGATCTAATCTATTTCACTTCTTATTTATATTTAAAGTATAATTTCGATATTGTATTATCAATAACGTAATCAATAATTTAAAAAAAACAAAAATTTGATATAAAATATAGATATAAATTTTTTTAATTATAATTTCTAGTATTATGTCAACTATATTATATTCTATATAATTGTCTTTATAAATTAATATTTATTAAAATGAAGTATAACACTTAATATCAAATATTATACTAAATTTTACCTTGGGATTAAGAGTTACGAAAAGTTTTAGATAACAAGTTTTAGATAACTTTGCAAAATTTTAATGATCAATGCAATATATTAAAGATAAAAGTTAAAAAAACATAATAAAATTTTATAATTAACTATACGAACTAATATAAAATATATACAAAAATATAATTTCATTGATTCATTGGTTATTGTTTTCATCAATAGTTTCAAAATGATTTAAAAACATCGCATATTTACTTTTACATTTTCGTATTCATATCTAAAAATAATCATTTAACAAAGTTATAAATATATAATTCATATTTTTAAGAAAACAATATCTATATATTTTTAAATAGCTAAAAAATTTTAACTATAACTTTACCTTAAAAATATTGCTTTTTTATGTTAATGTCAATTTTACTTTTTCATGTGATTAATATTAATTAAGCTTTCATACTCAAAATGTAAATATATACTTAAGAAACATTTAAATAAGGATAACTTAGTAATACTTCAACAATTCGCTACTGTTCATTTACTTTCAATCAATTTAAACACAAAATAATGGCATTAATTGGAACAATAAAGAAGAATTAATTTTATATTTATACAAAAGATTAAATTTGTATAATGTAACTATGCATAGATGTGCTATTTGATTATTGTTGCATACCTTACATGCGTATCAGCAGCTATAGATTAGCTTGTATTTTTGTGTTCTCATTGGCGCCAACATTGAAACGATGAAAACGATAAGAAACAAAAGACGCAAGGTAGCATATTTACAGCAAAAATTTGATTTTATGAATTATTCTGAAAATTTTTATTATAAATGAACTTTTTTTTTAATCTTAAGAAATAGTTATCTATAATATATAGATCACATATAAAATATAATTACCATAAATAGAAAAAATAGTAATAGTAGAATACATATTTAATATATACTAAATTATATATTTATTTCAATGAGAATATTTTTTGCAAAATTTTATTTGAGACAAAGACAATAATATAAAATTCTAAATATAGATACTTCTAAAAATAATTATCTGTTCAAAATAATTATGCAATATTAATGATTTTGCATTTTTGTTTGTATTGTTGTATTTCTTAATTTAGCAATATATTTTATTTTAAATTTTTATCAATAACAGTGAAAAATAACTAGTTTACAATTAGATTTATCGTATAAATCATTATGAATTACTTATAGAAATAAATCAAGTATTCATAAGATAAATATTC